CGCCCCTGCCAACAGCGGCACCCATGGCACGAATTTTGAACCGTGTGCAATCGGTTTTTAGTTGTGACCGGACCAATTGTCCCAGTTCTGGTGACAACTGAATATTTTTGATTTACTACCATCTACTGTCTGGCAGTGGTCACCTGGACAAATAGGTACATGCTTTAAAAACTCCCCTCTCTCTCCTCTCATCTTGGGGAAGAATAGTAATCATCTGGGAAAATACATTTTGGGTGGTGACCCTTTTGCCCAAAGCATTCAATTACTTTCCTTAAATGCATTCATGTAGATTTTAGGTAGGCCCAGACCTGGGTAGGAAGCTGATTTCTCCCCCTTTGTCCGAGTCCTAAACCATTGTTATTTTCTGATTGTTTACCGAACAATACGCATTAAAAATGCAAAAATGTAAATTTTAGTATAAAAAAAAACCCTAAAAATTTAGCGTAATGCGGCCTGTTGAAGGCGGTGTTCCCAGGTCTCTCTCCCTTACTACCTCCTTCGTACATCCGGCCCCACAAAGGCCCAGCAGGCATAAGTTACAGCTTTACGCTAATATATAACGAAGGGTATATTTTCCTTAAGGAAACAAATCACAGTCCCATCATTGTTATAGATTTAATGACTAGACATCCCGTCAACACCGCTGTCCCTTAAAACGGAACTCAGTCGACATATTTATAGTGTACCTTGGCTTCAAACCATTAATAAGTTTGGCAAATTACATTTAAAAAAAAAAAAAATGGAGAGAAAAAAAACCCGCTTCCTTGGAGCCCGGTGTCATTGAAGAAGCTGGTAGGATTCATTCATGAACTCGAGCCGTACTTCCCATAACTGGGCCCGTTCATCGCAAGCCAGGATGGTCCGTTTTATACACACTGCCAATTAAATGGGCCTTTGTATGAGGCAGTGAGCAGCCTGTTATGTGGTATTCACGAACGCATACACAAACACACAAGACTAGTCTAGCTCTCTCCCCCCCTCCTCCTCCTCCTCCTTCTCCTTCGTCTTTCCTGGAAGGGACTCTTTCATCTTGGGGTGTAGAAAAAAAAAAAAGGAAACAAAAATAAATACAAAAAAAAAAGGGGGGAAAAGGAATTTTCTAGCGGTCTGAGAAATCAAAATTCTTTTTTTTTTTCTTTCTTGCTAAATTTTAAACGTTCCTCCGTAGCTTTAATGTAAGAGTCCGTGGTCTACCACTTGTGCTCCAAAAAAAAAAAGGTTTTTTTTTTGCCTTTTTTATTTGAAGATTTAAAAAAAAAAATTCTATTTTTATGACCTTCCCAAAGTAAGTCTGTTTGCTGAATTTGTTGCTTCCCCCTCCCACCTAAACTGTATGTCAAGAATAGGCTTACCTTTATTCTTTTAGTCTGTTAGCTATACCATTGAAATGGTTTTTTTAAATGTATATCTCTTCAAACAAACAAAAAATAAAAAAAAACACCCGTTGGTCCTGCCAAAAATGTTGTCCTGTCCTCTCCTGTACACTCAGTGTTATCAGGAAGTGTATTCAGACTCTCAACGCCTCCCCATGTTATGGAGATGAGGAAATGAAGAGTCCTGACACATTTCCTGTCCTAGGGTGACACTGTTCTTTTCCAGAAACAGTTGGTGAACGTTGTCACCCGAGGACAGGAACTGTTAGGCAGGATTACCAGAAAAGAAAACCAATGCGTCCGCCATATCTAAGGACGGATAAGCTGCAATATGTTTGATTTTTGTTCTTGGGTACACTTTAAGGTTCAAGGGGGCTACATATGTCTCAACCTATTTAAAGTGTACCTGTCAGGGTGTCAACAAAATAAAACTGGGTGGGAAGTGGTATTGTACAAGTCTGTAGGCCCATTTGCTAGCTGAGCTCCCAGCACTGATCTGAATATATACTTCTGGGTATGTAGTAGAGTCTGTCCCCCTTTGTCCACTGTGGTTCCTCCTGATCACCCCTACATCACCATTGTGTCCCTTTGTCCACTGTGGTTCCTCCTGATCACCCCTACATCACCATTGTGTCCATTTGGCCACTGTGGTTCCTCCTGGTCACCCCTATATCACCATTGTGTCCTGCACTGACTAGAGGTCAGTAGGAGGAAACCACAATGGCCATTGCAGGGACACGCTATTAAACCAGCTGGAGGAGTCAAAATTCGTTGCCAGGAACTCCAGAGCAAAGGTTGTAACAAATGGGCCTGCAGACCGATGTGTATAATACAGCTTTCATCTGGTCTTTTTTTATTTTGTTGACCCCCCTGACAGGGTCTCTTTTTTAAGGTCACAAAGTTCATGGGCAATAAAAAATAAAGTACATTTTAGAGTAGGTCAAAGTAATGTGGAGCTCTGGAGCCAGTCTGTCTAGTCCAGCTCCGTTGACAAACAACTAGGGAAGACCTCAAAAGTTGGGCGCCAGATGTCATTTGTCAGGAGCATTGGCTACCTGGCCTGAGATTTGTCCAGCCCCGTCTTGGGGGGATATAAATGTTTTACTACAACTCTTTGTCAAATCCCCCCCAAAAAATGTAATTTGTAATAGATACCCATTCACCATATTTATTCCCAGATAATTTTTGTACAAGTCATTCTGAATTGAGGAAGCTGGTCGGATGACCAGTGAAATGTCTTCAAGAAAAATACAGCCAGTCCAGTTGCCTTGACTTATTATTTTACAGATAAAGATTCCAAAATGTCATCAAAACTCTTTGCCCTTGCATCCACGAGATCCGTGATGGAGCAGCTCCTTTTGTAATCCATTCCTCTCATTTGCTGCTACAGCATTTGATGTCTGATGTCTGACTAGTTCCAGTGTTTTGTTCGTTATGACAGCAGGGGGCGTCTGCTGCCCCCTCCGGAGGCAGAAAATTTGCAAACGGACGACGCCTGAGGCTCGTGTCCCAGAAATGTCAGCTCGGACTACTCAAAAGCTCTCCCTGGCTAGTCCCTTTTCATTCCCATATACACAGTCTCTCTCTCTTTCCGCTGGGAGGGGCCAGGGGACGACGCCTCTCTTCGGCAGCGCCGAGCGCGCGAGGGGTTAAGCGGAGAGTAGCTCTACTCATCAAGCCTGCAATTTATTTGGGCTAGGTAATTACCATAATCTGAGAAACGTCTCTTTACTGACGTCTGTCTTAAAATTGCTGGGTGTACTGGCGGGGCTCTTGAGATGAAAGGGAAAAATGCAGTCTTGAGGATTTTCTTTCACGCAACAGGGTGGCTACAGAGCTTCGTTTTACAGATGTTTCCTGACCCTTTTTTTTTTTCTTTTTTTTTTTTTATTAATTTCTGGAAAGAAAAAATTTAAAGATTTGTGTCGGGAGTCGAGAATGAGAATCCTTTTTTTTCTTTTTTGGTAATGTTTTAAAAAATTTTTTATCTGTGCAAACTACAAAGTACAATAAATGAATTGAGCCGGGA